TTACTTACAGCCGTTCTTAATCTGGGCTGATCGGTACGCCAGAAAGTTCGACGCAGTGTCCCCTGATCATGGATTGTGAGGCGTCGTGACAACGAAAAGGAGACTGTACAGTGATCACTCTTCTCAAGAGGTTAGAGAATCGTTAGATCTGACATCAGATGGGGACGAGGTGAGAACCAGGACGAGAATGTTTGGTGTCTGACCAGCGACCATCCGTGTTGGTATCAAGACATGCTGTGTCAGGTTGCACTTGTGAACGGTATCAAGGAGATCAACTTCAAAGTAGTCAGGTAGATCACTGTGAAGAGGGTCCCAGATTATGTCTGGGCCTTGAAGTCACGCATAAGGAGTGTTTGTTCCTCTTCTGTGGGTTCGCAAGGAGCGTAACAGGTGTGAGCCAGGTCCTGCAGGGGCTCTGTAGACCACTCCGATCAGCGATTGGTATCCGTCATGAATTCGACACCAGAGCATTTCTGACATATCATCCTTGTCACAACCGGGTTCCACAATGTGGGCCATGAGTCAGTTCTTTGTGTAGAGCATTACTCCGCTTCCAGACCCACTAAAGCGATCGCATCGAAGTAGCTGATATCCTGAAACATGAACATCCTAGTCAACTATATCAGATGACAGCCAGGTTTCGGTGAACGTCATTAGGTCCAGTTGCTGTTCAGAGATAAGGAGTGGAATCACACCTAGCGTGTTTCAGAGACTGCGCACATTGGCAGGTATTATCCGTAATCCGTTCTTTATGTTTGAGGTCGTGGAAGGAGGATTGGCCTCTATCGAGATCTCTGAGTTTTTCTAACTACGAGAAAATTTACTATATGCAAATCTATTTCTCCATTTGCTCGTCGGGTTCGCAGCTCGTAGACAGCTTGCCTCATTAGGATTCGGTCCTCCGGGGAGAAGTCTTTCAGAACGTAGTTTACTCCCTTGAGGCGCGGGGTCCGTCTCAGGATGCCTTGGCATTATTCTTCGTCATGACACGATTTTCAGGCTGGGTTATCTTGTTTTCTGCCAAGGCGAAAAGCAGATATTAGGCTTATCCCATGTTCACCCTCATCAAAGAACATGGAGACCATTCGTTTAAGGAAGGCTTGGTCGTCGAGTATCCTTTCAGCTGGAGTCTCTGTTGGATTCTGAGACGTTTGTGATTATCAGGCAGCAGTTGCGAACAGGCGGCTTGTCTCGTTCCGGTGATGCTGGTTTTTGTGGGCATGTCTTTTCTTTGACCAGTTGTTCAAGTTGCGCTAGTCTATTTAGGACGAGCCTTAGTTCCACGTTTTTGGTGTTTGATTTCATCGTGGGCCGTGAGAAGATCTTAGAGGCTTTGTTCTCAGCTATGGTTGTCCTCGCTTTTGCTGAGGTGCTGGCGCTCGCGACTGCGGCATACGACTTAAGCTTCCCGTTCTCACTGGAGGAGGACGCCCGACTTCGTTTCCTTTTCGGTGTAGAATGCCCAGACGAGGGCAAACACACTGATGAGCTAGGTGTCCCGCTGTCCGAGTTAAAGACGGCATGCGCAGAAGCAGTATGTACGTTGAAAGGGTTCGTCAGAAGTTGTTTGTCGCTGAACAACGTTAGACACAGGTTACAGTGAAAGTTGACGCCTTTAAAGATAGTGCGCTGAAGACATTGGTAAAGATCATCATCAATGTTACAGCAAACTACGTGCACCCATCTGCCGCAAAGTGCGCATTGGACGGTCTTTGAACTTGAGGTGACACTCTGTCTGCAGTCCACTTATGTTATATCTTTCAAAAGAAATATTTAACTACAGTCAAATTTTGTAAACGCCCAGACATGAGAAAGACTAAAATCCACAACTAAAGCACTTGGATCGAAAGTCTGACCGCAAAACAGTAGGAGGATTGCAATGGTCCTGCTTCACAGAAATGGACGCCCGTTCAGTTCAAATCTCCAGACCTACCGGCCCGGCGGCACCACCAAGTGAAACTCAATGGGCCGAAGAGGTACGCAGACCGACACAGTATGTTATGATCCAAGATCGTCGTAGACAGACAGGCAGGTCAAAGGCATAGAAAAGAGAACAACCTTTCCGGGGATGAACTATAGACTGGATCATCATAAGACAGTCTCGACTCAATGCACACAGATACTGCATTGCCATGATGTACGATGACCGGCGAATAAGGCAGTTTCTTTGATTGAGAAGGACTCATGACCGGTGATCTAGTACTGTGGAACACCTCACTGAAACCGTGTTTACACTTGGTAGGAGAGTAGCAAGCTGCGGTTTATCGCGTTTGTTAGGAGGAGTATCTCCTGAGGAATGGATAAACAAAACTTATATTGATCAAAATCCAATCTTTTTCCAGAAATGCAGTGTAATAATGTGCTAAGACAATCTAGTACTACTAATGGTATGCAGGAAAATCTCAAAAGGGAAAGACGGCTAGGCGAACAAGCTTGTTTTCGGTGGTTCGCATCAGCCCAATACACCATAAAAATAAGAATAAAACGAATACAGGATACTTAAATACGATGAAGCAAATTGACCGGTCAATGAGATCAAGTGACGACACTGGCTAAGGCAACATTAGTGGAAGGATTAAGTGTGGCACCATTACATGAGGTAGCTTGAGGTCATGGCAGCTGTAGAGCCTGTACAAAGTTTTTTTGAGCACACAAGTTGGGGTTATGGAGCCGAATAGTGATTGCCTCCGCTGTCGCTAATAGGCGACATCGGGCGGCTAGCGTTCAGATATCCTGTAGATAGGCCGGTAGGCCCCTTGCACATTCACTTGGTGATTTAAGTCGACCAAATACCACAGCACCGCGCTGACTACTGTTTCTCTGTCACCAGTGTACAGCCACGCCGGGCAATGTTCTCGGACTCTTTCAGACAGTCGCCTGGTCCTCTTTCAAATATAACTTGCTCGACACGAGCAAGAAAAATGGCACACACAGAAGGAAATATTCGACCTCGGTATCCTGCCCTTGAGATGTTGACTCACGAGTGGCGTAGAAGTGAAGCCGACACGGAGGTCAGCTGCAAAGTAGGTTCCCGCGGGTGCATTGCAGAGCCTTCGAGTAGTTCGTTCTGCTTGAAAGGCAGTGATAAGTAGAGTAAGCGCTTTTCTGCAGTGATTAGTTGCACTTTTGGTGTCTGTGGCTCAATGCGCCTCCGGATGAATTTGTTCGGGTAACTATTTTGTAGGAGAACGCGTCAAATGAAAAATCATCCGACAGCGTGTCTTCCGTGCATATTCTCCTCGCTCTTTCCGTTAGACAACGGATGAGGTTGCCTTTTTGACTCATTGGAACGAAACTGGCGAAATGGGTATATTGGCCATTCCAAGCTGTTTTCCTGTGTATTCTCGTTGGTACTGTCCCATCTGATATCCTGGTGATGTGGACATCTATGATTGACAAGGAGTTATTACTTTCAAGTTCTATAATGAACATTATGTTGTTGTTTGTAGTGTTGAAATGGGCTAGCATATCTTCGATGCATACCCGACCAACCGCAACACAAAATATGTCGTCAACGCATTGACCGCAGTAAAGCAAGTTGTCGATACATTCGTTTAGCTGAGTGTTCTCCAAGTTACTCATGAAGACATCGGTGAGTAGCTGTCCTAATGGTGAACCTACAGCTGCCCCGTCTATTTGTCTGTAAAACGTCCCATTGAACTGAAACTTAGCGCATGCCAGTATAAGTTGCCTTAAATGGTAATTTGGGATACCGATGCTAATGCTGTGCAATTGGATAAACTCGCAGACCTACTCAATGGTCACTTCTAACGGAACGTTGGTGAAAAGTGACGCCACATCTAGGGAGAACATCTTCCGTCCAGCTAGATTGAGTTGCTGCACCGAGTCAAGAAATTCGAAAGTGTCCTGGAGGCTGTAGCTAGATATGGCTATCCTGACTGGCTCGAGGCGTTTGACAAGCCACTTAGCAGTCAAATGATAAGGAGAATTATACACGTGCAGTATCGGTCTCAACGGTACACCTTGCTTGTGGATCGGGTAAGCCATAAAGCCTCGAAATTACAGTTGCTCTAGGTTTGACGTATTCAAAAGACAGAGTCTATGATGCTATCTTGTTTCAAACGCCGCAAAAGTGTTGTCATGGTCTTCTCAATTGCCCGCGTCTTGCCTTTCTCGCTTTTCGGAATTTCGAGAAGTCTCCTAGGATAGTGTTCATCTTATCAATATAAGCTGACTTGTTCATCAATACAATCACGGCTCTTACATCCGAACTAGATAACAAAACATTCTCGTTTTTCTTGAGTTGCTTCAGAACGTCCAAATGTCTGTTCTTTAGAATATATTTGATGGTCGGTTCGGACCTCAGGTACTGGTAGCATGCGTTTATCGAGGTGGATTTGTACTGTTCAGCTGTTAATGCTGAGGATGATGTTAAAGTAGAAACTTGAGAATAGAGATTTTCGAATTGAACTTCCAAGTTTAACTGTTGCACATGAGCTCGGGGGTAACAGAATTTCGGCATTAGTGAGAAAAATTCCATTTGTGCTCTATTTAATTGAGGAGGAGAAATTGTGACGTATTTCTAAGGGTCAAGTGGAAATGAATAGCTTAGCTTTTTCGAAGCGATCTGTCGCCGTAATAAGGCCATTCGTACTTCCATTTGCCGAGCCATAATTCGGTGAACAAATGATTCGAACTGTTTGTATTCCTCATCAAACAATTCACTCAATGCGTCGTAGATACACCGGTTGCGCTCAAGCTCACCAACCCAAGAAATAACCGCGTCTCGCTTGTTCCGTGTGTGACGCTCCAAAGCAGTGCTTGTTGGATTAACTCCACTACGTCTGAGTATCTTCCAAAAGTGTTTGGGATATTCACAACGTAAAACGCGCTCATCCAAAAAATGCACTGTCGTCTTCGCTACAGTAAATTTTGTTCTGAACCTAACGTACTGACTAAGTTCTCCTAACACAGTAGGATCCTTAGACTGTTTCAACTGAAAAATAATCCCGGAGAGGACATCAGAAGCAAAAGACGACTAGGCGAACAAGCTTGTTTTCGGTGGTTCGCATCAGGCCAATACATCACAGAAAATAAAAAATGAGTGCTTAAATACGATGAATCAAAGAAGTGAATTGACCAGTCAATGAGATCAAGTGACGACACTGGCTAAGGCAACATTAGTGGAAGGGCTAAGCGTGGCGTCATTATATGGGGAAGCTTGAGGCCATGATAGCACTAGAGCCTGTAAAAAGTTCTTTTGAGCACATAAGTTGGGGTTATGAAGTCGAATAGCGTACGGAATAGTACAAAGCAGAAAACATTCCGGGTCACTGGGAACAAATGATGGTATTCTGTTCCAGGTAATTGCGATTAAACTAGTAACCGAAGTCTTGTCTTCTTGGTCAGCCAATAAAAGCGGCATGGTTCAAAACAGCCAATCGGAGCAACACAGCACGACCTAGATGACCATAACAGACTAAAAAAAGAAGGTAATGAGAGCAGAGGTCGGCAGGTTAGTGTCCGCTGAAAATAACAAACTAGGTTCAGAAAAAACCGAAATATTCCGCGGATTGGGGTAAATGTCCAGGTTCTCCTCACTGTGTTATCATCACAGCTTAGCGACTGGTGACGCTGTTTGTAAACGTCATCCCACGCATATGTTTCGGATGTGATCAGCAGTAAGGAGGCATCATGCCTGATAATTCTCTAGCAGATTCAAATGATTGCTACTGGTAGTGGGACACAAGAAGTACCATAGTGCGTGATGAGTGAGAAGGATACCGCCTGATGAGAGGAGGAACAAAGTAATGAGGGGGCATTCGTCGAGGATTGATTCCCCACGAAGAGCCCTGTAAACAGGCGCATTGACATCGACCAGGTAGATTAGCAATTCAGACGGAGAAGTTAAACGAGTATATAGAGACACAAACAAGCAGCAGGGCAATCAATGGGACGGTAAATTGTGAGCTTACCACAAACAGTATGTTAATTTGGTAGTTCAGGCTCGCAACCTTTACGTCTTGAATTCGAGTCTCAAACCATACACGTATATAGGCGCCCCTAAAGTACGCTGACGTGTACATCTGAGTGGGGCCGCAACACTGTAGTGGTTCTGGTGCACTGACGATACGTTTTAACTACCTAATACTAAGCTCTTAACCTATGGAAATCGATAAGCTCTTGTAGAGAACCTAAAAGAATAATGAAAAATGGCGACCAACAACATCATCATCAATATACAATAGCTTCAAGTGAGAAGCACACCTGAGCTAATGTGCCCCAACACAAAAGGCGAGTAACATAACGTTAAATAGCAAATTTCGCGTCCACTATGAGATAGTAATTGGAGGTGGAATCTTAAGGAAAGGGAGTGGACAAAGAAACTCAACGCATAAACTCAAGTGAACTCGGCTCCTGCCATGTCAACAAGTATATCTAAACTAACGTGTTGGTCATCCTGCGGACCCCAGCCAGGCAGTCGGGAAACACCAACCGACGCCGACTTCCAAGCTAGGGTCTTCATTCCTTTCGACCAAGACATTGCTTGGCTTCTCTCTTCTTTTTCCACCCATCCCGCGGTCGTGCGAATAACTTACGACGCGGGGTGTGTGGTGGCATGCGTAACATGTAGCCCAGCTATCAGAGCCTGCTGCATAATATAACGGTAGTAAGCAGATATATCGCTTCCTGCACCAAATACGCGACGTCAAACACGCCCATCCCTCATGCGGTGTTCCCACCAGACATGAGCTAAGCAGAGAAGGCAGCGATGGTCAACGTAGCTAGCGTTTTGTGTCTGTCGATCTGATGAGTCAAGTTTCGAAACCGTACAGTGAAGTTGAACGGACGGCCGCATTGTAAATTCTACTCTTCAGGTAGAGTGATGTCGCGCTGACGCTACGGGTGGCGGAGATTGACAAAAACACTTCGACCTTTTGCCATACGGTTCTTAATCTCATCTTTAATCGCACAAGCTTTATTGTAGCTGCCGAGATGTTTGAATTTCTGGACGACTTCCAGTAGATTACCACCAACGGTCAGTGCACAGGTGGGTTCCTGCCAATCCTGGAGAAGGACTTTGCATTTCGACGCAGCAAACCATAGCTCAACAGGATTGACATCCAGTGTTGCATGTTATGTTTGGGAGCTGTCACAGATTAGGGCAATGTTGTCGGCGTACTTCAAGTTAAGTCGGTTACTTGGGAGTAGCTCCACACATTGTAGGTTGTGTTCAGTGGACGTCGATTCTATAAGTTGGTTAAAGAGAAAAGGCGACAGCTTGCGACCCTATCACACACACCGCATGAAACGGTTTGTCAAGACCCCACACTCTGTCCGAACTATGCGCGTACAGAGCGCTTAGGACATTTACATATTTCTCCGGCACACCTTTCCTGAGTAGACAAACCTAAAGGACACATCAATCCACCGAATCCAAAGCAGCTTTGAAGTCAAGGAACACGACTATGGTGGGTCGCCAATAAGCCTGGTGGCGCTCCAACAATTGACATAATGTGAAAATGTGGTCAATGCAACCTCGATTTCGACGAAACCCAAGTTGGTCCCAGCGAATGTGGCTTACACGGTGCCAGTCAATCTATGGAGGACGACAGAGGCAAGTAACTTAGAGACAATGGAGAGCAGACCAATTCCTCTATAATTGTCGCATGGGATTGCTTATGATCTGAAGGATCCGGTGAACCCAACAAAGAATACGCCACCGCATGGCGGTCTGCGAGTAACGTTGGAATCAAGTATTTTTCCACTCTCAACTTTTCCTAACAGGTCTGGTGTACATAACACCAAGGTCAAGAAACCCCCAATCCAAACTCAAGTAAAGTTTTTCAAATGCATCATCTGTCTTTTTACGGTAGCAGGGGAAAGAGAAAATAAGAACTGTAGATATAGTATGTCGATCGATTCAGCCCGGTAAGAAGTCCAGCCAAAACTGTCGGAAGCGTTGTCAGCAACTTCAGTCCGGACCAGTTTTGCTGTGAAGATCCAAGTCTTAGCAGATGCCCGCATACAATATGAAGACCAAAGGATTTGTTCTGGTCTGCAATTTCCCAGTCCAAGGGCTTAAGGAAAAGAGGTGTTACCTCAGTTGCAGCAAAAAATCAGGACAAATGTGCGCCCCAATTTTTTCAACATCAGTGCGGCACAATAGCTGATGTGCAAAATGAAACTAAGCGCGAACAGACCGTGTGAGAACGCCACAACCTTCTTAGTAAATTCGCAAATTACCTTGACCTGAGCGTCAGTATGGTCGTGTTTTCGCGGGAAAAATCGATTGGTGAACTATTGTAAGAAGAAGTAAAAAAACACAACGGAAGTTGAAAATTTTCACACCGGATGAACACTACTGACTGTCAGTGAACAGCCTATGAAGCGAACGGGTGCACTACACCGAATAAAGAGGAGGTAAACTGCCAGTTATACTGAAGCCCACTACACACACACGGCGTCTTGGTAAGCGAGACGCAAGCACGGAGAGAGGAGGAGGGGAAATATGTTCACCTCAACGCTTGTCTGCTAGTAATCCATCATGAGACTGCCTTCATCAAACAGAAGTCGGTGAGTCACATGCTATGCCACAATCATTTACAGATAACAATACTCGTTCACACATGTACTGCTCTATCAAAAGCATGAGCACCTGCATAACACTATTCATGCCAACTGCGAGTATAGATGCTCGCGCGTTAGGAGGAGTAAAAGACTGCCAACCCCCATTAGAGTTTAGTTCCGCTGATGAGATAACAAAGGTATTGGGCAGGTACTGAGGAAATGTGACGTGGCGCGTTAAATAGGACAGATCTGTCGTCACTTGAAAACAAGTTGGTGAGCAACAACAGACATGTGAAGGGGAACAATGATGCGAAGTGATATTCGTGCCGTACGATAAAGTGAAGGCTAGGGTGCAAATGAGCTAACTAGGTGGTAAGCACGTACCCCGAAGTTCGTCAACGGCGACTGCCGGACAAGCAATTCGAGCGCCTTGCGCTGTGGTTTCTCTTTCGCTACGGACGCATTGGGCTGGTAAGCGTTTTGCGGCACAGTGCCTTGATCAACGGTTCGCTCCTGGAGCAAATGAACAGTGGCATTCAGTCGTTTGGCCATGCGTTCTAGCGTGTCTAACGAGCCAGCCAGTTCCCCGGGAGCGAGGCCACCGACATGGCCATCGTCGTCGACGCCGAGTCGATAAATAGCTTCACCGCCACCTTCGTTCAGACGCCACTTCATTTGTGTGACCAAATGTTCGAACCGATTTGGAGTAGGGTTGACTAGCTTTCGCTGTAGCGAAGAACAAACAAGAAAAAATATGACGGGACCAAGCGATGGCATCATGTTAGATTCAAAGGAAGCACTGACGAGAAAACGAGATGAGTTGCGAATGATTAGAAGGTAGAAAAAGAACAGACCACGCGGTGAGCGAAATGTTCACTTATGATATTCAATACTGATGCTATTCAATCATAAATGGAAACCATGACTGCAGTTCGCAAATCGATCAAAAAGCAGTACGTAAGGGATCAATGAGCCAACAGAACATGGTGGGTCGATGGGGAGAAGGAAGATGAAGCGTCAACATCTCCAAATGAAAAAAATGTGAGTAGGCTGATGATCCTCCTTTCAACAAACTCAATCTAAGTTAGTCCAGTTGATCAACTGTAAAGAAATCGAACAACTATAACAGACGCAAACTAATACGCTAGACTCCAGTCGATGAAAACAAAACGCAAGGGAAAAGCAAAAAACAAGAGCAAAATGTGAACCAGGTTGGAACAAAAGCCACCCGCCAAATAAAAATGAGGCGATTGTATGTAACAAGCAACATTGGACTGTAACACGCCCACAATATAAGCAAATCATTGATACGGTCGACTTGAAAGCCCCATTCCAAAAACATTCGAGCTGGACTCTCGCTCTGCCACCAACTGACCAAGATAGGTAGTATGAAATCAAGAGCAGTGTTGGAAAAATGGGATGCCGAAATTGCACCAAAAATGCTTATGGTGGCTGGTAATCTGCGGTAGGTCTGAGCTAGTAGGCTTCTTTGAGTCCAGGAGAAGTCATTACAATAGGGAAGTATTGTTAACGAAGTGCTGAAATGTACCGAAAACCTTAATATATGTGACAGGCATTAGTCAATTGGAAGGGACCAACGCTCAGCTTTACGTCGCACAACTAACCTTACAGAAACTGAAGTATTCAGGCTACGAAACCTCACTTCACACACCGTAGTCCTCTTATCCCCCTCCTACCTAGTACCATGTCGGTCGGTGGTCAAGTGGTCTGTGCGCCTGGTTTGTAACCATAAAGTCACCCGTTCGAATCCGCGTATAGATGGGCGTCCCCGCGGTATACTCAGCCCACGCGCGACTGGTGATGGTCGCAAGACAGCGTACTACATAAGTACGAGATGTACGTAGCCCAACACCAGTAGAATACTTGCCTATCTTTAGAGTACCCAGAATTTTCGTTCCATGGTAAAAAAAATGTGAAAAAGGAATAAGTACAGAAGCATAAAATTACTGGCAACACACCTAAATGACGCAAAAATCGCGGAAGCTCTTCACTGAAATGCAAATGCTTCCATCGCGACGAGAATGGACCTTAACGTGGTGCGATGGTTAGTGCGCCTCATGGATCCAATGAGATATGCTAGGTGGTACTTTGCACCTGCAGAGGCATTCATACGAGATTGGTCAACGGTTAAAGGCTAGACAAACTCAGCCTCCTGGTCCTCCAGTTTGGGAGTTGGAGTGAAGGTGGCTCCTTACTCCATAAAAACGGGTTCTCTGTAGTCGAGCGCCAAACCCCCACTGCCTTGCGATAAGGTTATTGAACCACAGTCTTAAGTAGAGACCCATAATCGTTCCTCTGTCTAGGCCTGAGCAACCTGACAGTATCCTGTCCACGCAATACACTATGACTCTTCCTTTTAACAACCAGTTGATGCTCTGGTTATGGCAGAGGGTAAAAAACAGCGTCCCACCTGCAGCATTGAGCAGGGTGGATAGCGGTTTGGATGCGACCGCTCAGGCCTTCCCATCTTCTTATTCGGCCTCTAGCGATTTTTCATGCTTAGCGTCCGGGACCAACTTACCATTTGTCCCCATGTTTTCAAACCCACAATTCCTGGCCCCCCCTCCACCTTGTTTAATAGTAGCTTGTCTGCTAGGTACAACTTACACAATCGCAGAACGTCGCTCCGGTCCAGTCGACAAGTTGATGTGCAAGCAAGTGGATAACGTCAGTTCATCCGTTTCCCTTTGGAGTCCTCGATCCTCGCTAAAACTGGCATGCCTCAACGTGCGCACTCTGTTAGAGATTGGCCAACAGGCAGCACTTGCCCGCACACTAGAGGCCCTATCGATCAATATTTGCTGTTTATCAGAAACCCGAAGGCAAGATCCGAGCTCCGTGCTTACTCTGCGATTCCCCACATGCGACAATGGCGGCACATACTCATTACGCCTGTCTGGCGATGAGACAGCCTCAAATGCAGGTCAAGCTGCCCTGATAGACTTGATCCAAGCCAAAAGCCGGAGGTGCACCGTTAGATTAGTTGGTTCGCTCCCGGCTTCGAAGTCGCACGGGGACAAACAATGCCTGTTTGTCACTGCGGCTTACGCCCCCATAAACGGCAGCCCTGCTTCGGTGTAAGATGACTATCACCAACTTAACGGTCTCCTTCGTTACAGAAGCACGGATACTATGGTGCTCGCGGATGACATAAGTCGCAAAATTGGCTACTGATGAGCTCCATCTGGGCGGCCAATATGGTGTAAACTCCGGTAATGATAACGTTGAGCGGTTGCTAAACCTGTGTGAAGATGTCTATTTCTCGCAAGCACCAACATTCAACATAGCACCCACAGAAGAGTGACTTGGTGCCCGCCAGCCTCGGACCAGCCAAGGAAGCAAATCGATCACATCGTGATTAGCAACCGCTGGAGAGGCTGTGTTCAAAACTGTCGCTCGATTTGGAGCATCAGCACGGACTCAGATCAAACTCTCATCATCGTCATCATAAACAGAAGTACATCAGCCATTCGAACTGATGCTACGCTGCCATACAACCATGATGACCTACGAAAAAAGAATAATAAGAGGGAGAGAAGGGGGACATACCTGAAAACCTTAATGCACTAAGCAAGCATTCAGCGTCAAGGCGCCTACACCTTGTGTTAACAACATACCGTCACAAACAGCTGGCTACCGCGCAAAGATAGGAACAGCAACGGCGAGACAGCTTCCTTGCAGCTTTCACTGCTTCGCGTCATAATCAGCCATTACCCCGCAGATAACTCAGCACCAAACACACTTTAAACAGACAATTCAATTAGGAGACGGCAGCAGACGCGCCACTGGTGTCGGTTGCGAGTCACGTGGACGACAGACCGGAAGGCGAAACGGATCAAGGGCACCCAGTTTGCTCGTCAGCGACTTCATTTCCCACTGTCACGTCAACTTCTGTCCACCACAAGCGTTGCGCCACCCTACACCTGGCAGACTAAACAACGCCCTCCTACGTAAGCGGTGACCAGGACATAGGTAGCAAGTGCCCGAGCCAACGCAAATTATTCAGTGCTATCTGTTTTCTAGGCAGCTAGCATGATTATCACTACATATTACACGGTCACAAACATCATCACTGCGGACACGCTGGTGCCATCCGACACCACTAATGCTACGCAGACAACGGTGATCAAAGACTTGAAAGCGCCTCAGCTCTTCAGACCGAAGGGGCCAAATCGCACTACCATAGAGCAGAACATCCATCAATGTGGCTTTGTATAGACGACCTTTCAGACGGAGGTTAATTCCCTTCTGTCGCCAAAAATGCCGCAGGTTCAAGAAGGCAGTTCTGGCTTTGCAACGCACGAGTAGACGACAGTTTCTATGCGCCCATCGTTGCTGATGCAGTTGCCAAGGTAAGAGAATTGATTAAAAACTTCCACCTAATTGTTAGGAAGACACAAGGGGCAAAGAAGCGGCCGGTGGTCTTGCAACAACACTCTGCACTTTGAAGGTGCGAAGTGAATACCAAATAATGGGACCACTCTAAACAGGTAGGCCAGGGTTGATTGTGCTACCGCAATATCGTCGAAAACCAAGACGATATCGTACGCATAATCAAAATCAACTAACCTTTCACCAGGCAGCACTTCAACATCTACATCGTGAGATTCCCCAAGTGAACACTCCGTGATAGAATCCCTGACGAAATTGAACAAAAATGGGAAAATCGGACAACCCTGACGAACGCCACTTGTAGTCGGAAACCTATCCGATAGGCCACCGTAGACACTGAGACCACCTGTAGTGTTCGAGTATAGAGCACGAAGGATGTTCACATATTTCGCGGGAACACCTTTCCGCGCAAGCATTTCGAACTGAATCGATCAATCGACTGAATCGAACGCACTCGTGAAATCGAGGAACACAGCTATTGTCGGTCTGCGGTATGCGTGGCGCTGATTAGCACCTGCCGCAAAGTGAATATATGGTCTATACAAGCACTTCTTGGGTGGAATACTGCCTGATCATCCCTAATCCGGGATTCCCGTTCCAAAGAGGAGCGACGAATGAGATTTGATGCCCGTAATCTTGTCGCAACTGGCGTTAGGCTAATACTCTTGGTTAGAACATTCAGTGCAACTATCCTTCTTGTATTTTGTCATTATAATCGATCCGTTCCAATTAGCCGGGACACTCTTCCTTACAGATACGTTAGAACAGAAAGGTCAACGCTTTGTAGATGACCTTATCTCCATCCTTAAATAGTGCAGGAGAGAAGGAATCCGGGACAGTGGCAAGAAAACGATGGAGGGCTGTGATCACGTTTCGGACCTCGGCCTCCGACGGAGACCCTAAACTAACCGTCTCTCGTTCGTCCTGCATCACCTGAGTAGGAAGAGGTTGGGGAACAGGGGGCCAGCTGAACTGATCTTGAAAGTGTTCTGCCAACGAGCCATCCGGCGCTCCTTATTGTGTATCAGTGCACCCGCGCTGTCTCTGCTTGTTCACTGACGCCCGGTATCTTAGGACTAGTGAGGCGGATCAGGTGGAAGAGCTTGAGGTAATTGGCTACTGATCCTGCCTCCTCTATTGCAGGAGCCCGAGTGGTCCACCAGGATTTTTTGTCAGCACGTAGGCTCTGCTTCAGTCCACGCCTAATAGCCCGTCTGGTCACGTTGTGTTCAGAGCCAGCCGGGAGGTGTCTTCTAGATCCCAACAGGTTCACTTATCTCTCGGATATTCAGTGACTGGTGCGGTGACCATCG